CCACCCCCTTCTTCCCCTTCGGGGAGGGGTTTACCCCTCCCCCTCCCCCCCTTCCCTGGACCTGGACGGGGGTTTCGCGAGGGGTTGGAGCGTCCAAGATGGCCTCGGCGAGGAAGCCAAAATCGCTCGCTGGTTTTACTAAGGGTTTTGGCCCCATTTTGGCCTCTCCGAGGGGGGGCCCTAATTGAGGGACCCCCCTTCTTTGATCGATCTCCTGCAAGATGGCCACAAGAGGCGCCCAGGAGGCCCCAAGAGGCCCCAAGATGGCCCCAAGATGGCCACATGTGGCCCCAAGAAGCCCCCAAGCGGTCCCCAGGATGCCCCAAGAGACCCCCAAGAGGCCCCAAGAGGCCCCCCAGAGGCACCCAAGACGCTCCAAGAGGCCTCGGCGAAAATGCCAAAATCATTGATTTTACTAATATTTTGGCTACATTTTGGCCTCCTGGGGGGGGGGCACTGCTTCAGATGACTCCAAGAGCGCCTGGGAGAGCCCAAGATGACCTCCAAGATGGCTCAAGATATCCCAAGATGCCTCAAGATGGCCCCCACGATGCTCCAAGAGGCCCCAAGACCGCTCCAAGACGGCTCCAAGTGGCCAAAGAGCTCCCCCATGCCCCCGGAGGCCCCGAAGAGGCCAAAATCTACCCCAAACCTTAGGATAATCAATGTTTTAGGCTTTCTCGCCATTTCGCTTCCGATGGCCATCCGAGGCTTCAAGATGGCTCCAAGATGGCCCAAGAGGGCTCCAAGAGCGCTCCCAAGGCTCTCAAGAGCGCTTCAAGACGGCCCCAAAAGACGCCCAGGAGGCCCCAGGAGGCCCCAACAGGCGCCCCAGAGTCCTCCAAGAGACCCCCGAGAGACCCCCGAGAGGCCCTAAGAAGCTCTCCGAGGCACCCAAGACGTTTTTAGAGGCGTCCAGGACCGCCAAGAGGCCCCCAAGACGCTCCAAGAGGCCAACACTGGGGGACACTTCCTCTGTGTGCTGCCCACTTCCCTGATCAAGACACTTCCTCTGGGCATCGTTTCTGGATGGGCTGGTGGGGTTACGCGAAGCGTCTAGAATTGAATTGATAGTGGGACAGGAAATGATATCCATAGTGAGATCGATAGTGAAATCGATAGTGCGATCGATTGATTTAGACCTTGGTTCCTCCACGAACCTCCTTATCACCCGAAGGGTGGTCGTATAGGTGTATACCGGAGGGGGTGAGATCGAAGTGGAGCGGAGAGCCCCCCTCTGGGAAATCGATCTCGTCTTCGGGTTCGTGTCGTGCGCGCGGGCGAGGCGAAGCTGTGTGGGCGGCGCGAGGAATTTTGCCCTGTTCTGGCTAGGGCGCGGCGAAGACAGAAGTCCGCCCCCCCTGGCCGCGTGCTGGGCGGGTGCTGGGAGCGTCCCGCCGTGGTGTCCCGCTGGTGTCCCGTGGTGTCCCGCGTGTCTCAATGAGTGTCCCGATGGTGTCCTGGCGGTGTGTCGATGGCGTCCCGCGGTGTCCCGCCGTGGTGTTCCGATGGTGTCCCGGGGTGTCACATGGTGTCCCATGGTGTCCCGCAGTGTCCCGTGATGGTGTCCCGTGGTGTCCCGATGGTGTCCCGTGTTGTCCCGCCTTGGTGTCCCGCCTTGGTGTCCCGCCTTGGTGTCCCATTGGTGTCCCGTGGTGTCCTATGGTGTCCCGCATGGTCCCGCGGTGTCCCGTGAGATCGATAGTAAGATCGATAGTTACATCGATTGTGTAATCGCTAGTGAGATCGATCGTGATTTCGACAGTTAGACCAGCAATAGGATCGACCGTGATATCGATACTGAGAGCTATAGTGAGATCGATCGTGAGATCGAACATGAGGCGGACATGTAATGATATCAGCAACAAATTCGATGGTGATATCGGTAGTGAGGTCGATTGTGAGAGGCGTATAGGTGTGTGTGTGTGCGTGTACCGATGCATATACATACATGCATGTATACACACATATGTGCATACAAGCATTCATGCATACACACATCTACATACGTACATACATACATGCATGGATGCATACATACATACGATGCAGACATATATGTATACATACATGCATTGCATGCATTACATGCGTCCCATACCTACCTATATACCTACCAACCTACCTACTTATCAACGTACATACATACATACATACATACATACATACATACAAACAAACATACATACATACATACATACATACATACATACATACATACATACATACACACATACATACACGCACATACACACATACACACATACACACATACACAAGTACACATACACATGCATATACATATATATATATATGTATATATATATATATAGATATGGTCGGAAATTGAGGGGTGAGATCGCAGTGAAACGGAGAGCCCCCCATCGGCGAAATCGGTTTGTCTTCGTGCTCGTGTCGCGCGTGCGGACGAGGCGAAGCAGCGTGGGCGGGCGAGAGGAATGAACCCACCGCTGCTGGGGCGAAACTGGATCCAATGACTCTGCACCCCCGGTTGGCCGGCGGTGGCCCGGGGGTCCCGCCGGTGTCCCGTGGTGTCCCATGGCGCGGTTGCCCGTGGTGTGCTATGGTGTCCCGTGAGATCACTTGCAAGATTGATCGTGAGATCCATGTAGTGAGATCGAATCACCAATCGATGGTAAGATCCAAAGTGAGGCCAACTGTGAGATCGATAGATGGTGAGATCGATCGATACAGTGAGATCGGTCGTGAGATCGAAAACCGAGGGAGATCTTTGGTTTTGGTCCCCCACCCTTCCCCCGGGCGGTGAATAGGACTCGTCCTGAAACTGGCCCCTCCTCTCCCTCCTGCTCCTTCTCTTTCTCCCCTCCTCCTCATTCTTCTCGTGAGGATAGAAATTCTGAGGATCGAATTTCTGAGCTAAGATTTTCCGTGAGAGCGCTCCTGTCCTGATGCATGAGTAGTAGTAGTAGGTCGTCGAAGTCGCAGTCGCAATCGTAGTCGTAGCTGTCGTCGTCGTTGTTACGCGCCGGTGCCGCCGAACAAAGTAATTAGTTACCCCATATTGGTGGGACCCCACTCCTTCAATAAGGCCGCCGAAAGAATAATAGTTACCCCCCATAATTGGGGGGGGGTCAAAGACCTTTCAGGGTTAGTGAGACCGATAGATACATTGAGAATGAGATCGATAGAAAGATGGTCAAACATATTGCCGTGATTTGCCGTGTACTTGTGCAGTACGTCCTCACGCAAATAAGGACCCGGCAAATAAATGTCACCTGGATCGATGAACTCGATGGTGGTGTCCCGTGGTGCCCCATGGTCGTACTTGTTCTGGCTGTTCTTCTACAAGAACGAGCGCGCGAGCAAATAGATGCCACCTGGATCCGCTAGTATGCCTGATGCTCTGGTGTCTTGTAGTGAGATCGAGCGTGAGATCGATAGTGCGATCGAATGTGGGAGAGGTAGGGGGGGGTCGAGAGAGAGGTCGATGCATAGATCGAGGGTGATCGATCGGTAACGATGGTGAGGCCGACGATGAGATCCATAGTGAGATCGATAGTGGTGTCCATAATGAGATCGATATTGGTGCCCTGTGGCGCCCCGTGTTGTCTCGTGGTGCCGTGTGGTCTTGTATTATGTTTGTGCTCTCTTGTCAAAGAACCAGCGCGCGGGAAATATTTGCCGCCTGTTTCCGTTTGTGGTCCCGATGCTTTTCGGTGGGCAAGCAGACAGCCCTGTTCGTTTGTGGCATGTCCTGAGGAAAAAGCGGGACGGGCAAACAAATGCTACCTAAGTCTGCTGGTTGCCCCGATGATTCCCGCTGAATGCCTACATAGATAAATAGATTTCTCCAACTCGTTCACCGATGGTTCCGCATCACGGTGGCTTTACGTTGCCCCCAGGCCCCAGGACCACCCATCGAATCCCATCGGTGGACAGTCTGCTCGAGGCTCTGCTCGATGGAACATCGGCTCGAAGTGCCCTGCAGTGCGCCAACTCAGGCTCTTGCACCGCCCTACCCTCGCCCCCTGCCTCAGCGGCTGCCTCGGGCAATGGGTGGCAATGCAGGCGAGATGCGGAAGATGGAGCTCATGAAGTGCGCCACTTATACGGAGTCGTGACTCGGAGAGAGAGGGGGGGCGAAGGTGTACCGGAAGGTCGAGGAGCTACCACACTCGGCCATTGGCAAAGAGCCATCGTCGTCAAGAACAACTGCTAGCTAGCATTATCGTAAATATTTGGTAAGCAGCGGGATGCAATGCTACGCAAGGCTGCGCTGTGGTACACCGTGCTATGCCTCGAAGTGCTGCGCCATGCTGCAATATTAACTTATTCATGTGCGCTTAGGTCTACCGTAGACGGGCCTGTGCTGCGAACCGTGATGCTGTGCCGCGCGATGTGCCATTTCGCGTCAGAACGGTTTCCACTGCGTTGCGAACCACGGTGGCTCCAACAGCAGAGTACCCCCACATGGGTCGCGCCAGGTTCATGCTCACACACGTTGGCTTCCCGTGCTCACAGGAGGCCCAAGAGGGCTTTACTGGGAAGGCTGCGGTGGCCCCAGAGGGCCCGAGGCCCCCCGAGGAGGCCCTCCGATGCGGTGCTCAGCACGCCGCCGGCTGAGACTACCCAGCCACGCAGAGCAACTGCCACACTGCACGGGGGGGGGTCCTCCACCGAGCTCACGCCACGGCGGTTAGAGCTCGAGTCGAGTTCTAACAAGGTCGGTTAGGCCTCACATCGAGCTCTAACCAGGTCGGCTCAGGCTCAATGAAGCTCTGACCAGCGCGGTTAGAGCTCAAATCGAGATCTGACAGGGTCGGTTGAACCTCAGCGCGAGCTCGAACTAGAGGTGCTGGCACATCTGGCGTGAGCTTTGCACCGTGGCTCACCCGAAGCGGCGGAGGGGGGGGGAAGATGCGGGAGCATACCGCGCACGTGGAGCTGACCCGTCTGCCCAGAAGCTGCCCGCCTGGCAACCCCTCGCTCAGGACAGCGCTCGGCTCACAGTAGCTGTCTCAAGTGCTCGCTCGGCAGCACTGGCGTCCGCAGCTTCCACCCACCTCTATGCCAGTGGCGAGGTATGTTCTGTCGGGGAGACGTAAGGCGCGGGTCAGGGAGACTCGGGTTGGCCCGAACCTGAAATTTGACGCGAACTCCCGCTGCAAACATCCCAGGAAAACTGGGCCGTCAAAATCCAGGACGCACTCGTCAAAACGCGTCGGCAAACCCGAGTTCCAGCATACTGTACTCGAGTCTTACGTTTCCCCGGTGCTGGTCCAGCAGCACACCGAGCACCTCGAATGGACCGTCGTGGTTCCGGCAGAAGGCCTCTGCAGCGCCAGCACGTGAGGGAGACGTGGGCACGCTGTGGCGGCGCGAAGGCTGGTAGCCCTCCTGCAGGATGACGTCCCGCAGCTCCCGCGGCACCGCCACGTACGCGACGCTCAGGGTGTCGGCCGCGCTCAGGCACGTGCGCGGCAGGCCAGGCGAGCGGATCCTGACGCGCAGGAGACATCCGCGCACCACCACCGTGCCTGGCCAGGGCCCCCCTGGGCCCTGGCATGGTGCGTGCGCGCACCTGGCGGGGCGCACCTGGCGGGGGCAGGGAGGGTACACAACACACACACAGACACACGCACGCACGCAGGCACGCACGCACTCAGGCACGCACGCACGCACGTACGCACGCACGCACGCACGCACGCACGTACGCACGCACGCACGCACGCACGCACGCACGCAGGCACACACGCACACACACACACACAACACACACGCACCCACACACACACACACACACACACACACACGCGCGCGCGCACGCACGCACGCACGCACGCAGCCCGCCCGCCCGCCGCCGCCCGCCCGCCCGCCCGCCCCCGCCCGCCCGCCCGCCCGCCCGCCCGCCCCACACACACACACACACACGCACGCACGCACGCACGCACGCACGCACGCACGCACGCACGCACGCACGCACGCACGCACGCACGCACGCACGCACGCACGCACGCACGCACGCACGCACGCACGCACGCACACACGCACACACGCACACACACGGACACACACGCACACACACACACACACACACACACACCATCCTGGGGCCCTGGAAGGCCCTGGCCGGGCACGGTGTTGCGCAGATGCCTCCTGCGGGCCTGAAGCCGCCCCTGCGCCCCGGCGTCACGGTGTAGTGCCTCCCGCTGCCGTCGCGCAGGGACGTCACGGCCAGCAACGCCGCGGGGCCTGGGGAGCTGCGGGCCAGCGCCCGCAACGCCTGCTCCTCGGTGCCCGCCACGGGGCACGCTGCTGCGCCAGCGGGTCCTGAACCCCTGCCGCAGGACCGCGTCCTGGAGGTGGTGGGGCACCGCCAGGTACAGCAGGGCATTCTCCACGCCGAGTCCCGCGCCGCCCTCGCCGCCGCCGCCGCCGCCGCCGCCCCCGACGCCGGGCGGGTCCTCCTCGGTGCCGCCGCCGGCAGCGAGTAGCTGGTCGTGGGCCAGGGACCCCGCGTCCGAGGCCAGGGACAAGCTGACGGTGCCGACCTCCTCCGGCGACGACGCCGACGGGGCGCTGAAGTCGGACTCCGCCTGGTGAGGGGGAGGAGGAGGAGGAAGAGGAGGAGAAAGAGCGGGAGGAGGAGGAGGAGGAGGAGGAGGAGGAGGAGGAGGAGGAGGAGGAGGAGGAGGAGGAGGAGGAGGAGGAGGAGGAGGAGGAGGGAGGAGGGAGGAGGAGGAGGAGGAGGAGGAGGAGGAGGAGGAGGAGGAGGAGGAGGAGGAGGAGGAGGAGGAGGAGGAGGAGGAGGAGGGGAGCCTCCAGGTCCTCCGGCTCGGCGGCCCGGCGGCAGCTCGGGCAGGCAGCCTGCGCGGCGCACCCTCTGCAGAGGAGCGTGCGCAGGCAGCCCGGGGTCGGGCACCGGAGCCTCAGCGAGCCGTCCGCGGTGCTGCACCGGAAGCACGCCTCGTTGGGCCCGGCCGTCGACGCACCGCCGAGAGACATTGGGGGGGCCTCTGCGGCTGCCGCCGCCGCCGCCCGGGGTCAGGTGTCCCGTGGAGCCCAAGCGTCTGCGGGCGTACGTCGCGCGCCCCGTGGCCCCCGAAGAGCAGGGGGGCCATCGACACGCATCGCGCATCATGGAGGGTGCCGCTATCAAGCACGACTCCCTGGGGGGATCCTTCGCGAAGCGAGGGTCACTGCGAGGGGTGAGCAATTTCTGGCACCCTGCGACCAAAGCTCTCTCACCTTGGAAGCCCCACCTGCCCAAGCAAATGGGATCTTCGCGAAGCGAGGGTCACAGCGAGGGGTGAGCAATTTCTGGCACCCTGCGATCAAAGCTCTCTCACCTTGGAAGCCCCACCTGCCCAAGCAAATCCACCGCCCGCCAGTGGCCCATCAACAACAATGAAGCGCCCTCCCAGCAACGCTGTTGGGACTTGAACCCGTTACACCCTGCGGGGCCCTCTGTGTGCGCGATCTATCTCTCTCGCTCTGTCTCTCTCTCTCTCTCTCTCTCTCTTTCTCTCTCTCTCTCTCTCTCTCTCTCTCTATATATATATGTCTCTCTATATATCTCTCTCTCTCTCTATGTTCTTCTCTGCCCCTCGGTCTCTGTCTCTCTCTCTCTCTCTCTCTCTTTCTCGATCTCTCTCTCTCTCTCTCTTTCCCTCCCTCTCTCTCCCTCTCCCTCTCTCCCTCTCTCCCTCTCACTCTGCATAAACAAATATACAAAATATCAACTTCATTACTTTATTCGAAACCGCTCACATGGCTCTCTCAACCGTGACTTGAATCTGCGCACAACTACGCCCACTCGGCATCACTGAATAGCATGTCTCTATCTTCGCGATTCTGCCCAACCCATCCGCCTCCACGCGAGCGGCCGTTGCGGTCGCGACGGGGATGGCTTGACCAAGTCCAGAAATAAGCAGCTCCTTGACGGGAGGCTTGGCCTCCATCGCCGTTCGACCGTCCTCTAAGTCCTCGGACCCCATGCCCATAAAGAGATCTCTAGCTGCCTTCATGTAAATACTGGCACCCTTGTTATTGCTTACAGTCATCTTCATGGGCCCCTTGATGCATGATATGACTGGTGCTTCCATGCCCTCCGCGTATGGCATCATGTCAACACCCACGATTGTCATTCCACCCTTCGACAGCTGGCTAAACCAGGCCTCCCTCGTATCCTGGAACAGTTGAGGCCGCACGGTAAATATCATGTAGCCATTCGGTTTGAGGATGCGGCATAGCTCTGGCACAGCCTCGGATCCAACATGCCCCTGCAAAAAAGTACCAGCACTGACGACCAGATCGAAGAAATCGTCCTTGTAGGGAAGCGTCTTTTTCAGATCTCCCTGGACCAGGTTGGTAAATAAGCTGTGTTTCTGCCTCGCCACCTCAAGCATGGCCTCGCTGAAGTCCAGACCCCACCAATCATACCTGAATGAGCATTTTTTGTTTGCCAAGTCCTCATTGCACACTTCAGCCACGTTTCCCGTGCCGCATCCCGCATCGAGTGTTTTCACGACCTTCAAGCTTGTGTGAGCCAGGTGCTGCTGACATTTAGACGAGACACTTTTCAGAGATCCACGCGAGAATCTCCCAGCCTGTTCGTTGTAGCCGTCTTTGGCCCACTGGTCGTAGATCTCTGGGGTCGCCTTCTCATACACAACGTTGTACTTGGAGTGCTCGGTGCCAGTGCCGATATGTGTTTCGGTCATTCACACAAGTACAATACCGCACACAAGCTGCAGGCACATAACACCAACGATTTGAGCAGTCGGTTCGCCCAAAGAGCTGCTCGAGCCCAATGTCCACGGTCTGATGGGTAGGTTATTGAGACTCGCTTGGACCCTCTCAAGGCGATCTTGAAGCCCTGAGTCGTTCTGGCGCTGTCCTTGACATTGTAATCCGTTCGCGACTAACAAGCAGTATACTGTCTTTGTCATGGCTGCCACGCCGAAGAGGGACCTCGCTACAAGCCGTCGACACTAAAGCTGCTCGAGACACGAGGAGGACGACAGCCAGGTCCCAGCAATATTCGAACATGACCTCAGCAAGACCCAGGTGAAGTCCTATCAGGAACATGCCAGGCCGAAATCGGGATCCTGGCAGGGTCCTAAGCAAGAACACGGACCCTAGCACTACACTCGCAGGATCACGGCAAGGCCCAGGAGCAATCGCGGCAGGACCCAGCTGGATGTCAGTACGATGTGTACGTGACCCTGGCAGGGCTGGCTCTGGCAAGCCGTAGACTGGAGCATGAAGACTTCATGAGGACGCTGGTAAGGCCCGGCGAGGCCCGGTCAGGAGTCTGTTATGACCCTGGCAGGACCTCGGCATGGCCCTAACGGCCCTAACGCGGCCCTGGCGGACCCTGGCAAGACAGCAACAGCACCGTGGGAGGACCCTGGCAAGGGCATGCTTGGGCCACAGGACCTGGGCTACACACTTAGGACACGGTCCCCTCAAAAAAAGGCCCCGACTGGAATCCATGACGGGACGGCCGCAACGTGACGTGACCAATACCCGTATCGAACTCAAGCAGGACCACGGCAGGACCCAAGCAGGGCCTCAGATGGACCCTAGTTCGACCCCTACCCTCCTCTGCCTCCGTCCCTCCCTCCATTCCTCCCCCTTGCCTCCTCCTATCTCCCCAATCTCCCCCCTTCATTCCCTCCATATCTCATCTTGCCTGCCTCTACATTTACACAACATGACTACTACTTTCCTGTCTCCCCCGGAGACGGCGGTGAGGCGGCCTGGCCTCCTCCGCGTATTGCTTCTACACAGAATGCCGCCGAATTGATAATTGATACGGAATTGATACGTGTTTTTCCAAGCCGAGCGTTGTCAGTCCTTTCAGAATGGCGCTCCCGCTGTTGGCTAGATGTTCCCGCTCTCAGTCCGTCCAAATCATGTTCCCGCTGTAGCGCTGACCTCGCTTCACTGCCCCGGCTCTTCCAAATCGTGTTCCTGCCGCAGCGTTGGCTTCGCTTCCGCGTTTCCAGTCCTTCCGAATCGTGCTCCCGCTGCAGCGCTGGTCTCAGTTCCGCGGTTTCGTGCCTTCGGTATCGTGCTCCAACTGCAGCGCTGATCTCTTTTTGTGCTTCCCGCTTTCCAGATCAGCCATTTGCATTTCCCGTCCTGTGTCATTTCTGGTTGCCCTCTGACCTTGTTGTCGAAATGAGTTGCGTTCTCGACGGGATGTCATGCCTTGCCGTGCTATACCATGCATCGCGTACTCTCTCGGGATCATTGCTCGGTTCGACATCTGACTGTGCGGGTAGCGAGACGATCTACGCAATGGTAGGGGATGGGAGAGAGGGGTAGGATGTCAGATATGACGCTTGCGCATCTAGCTTGCCTCCACCATCTCTCCCTCATTCCTGCCTCCTCTTCCCCACCTTCCAATCTTCTCGTCTTAGTATCAATATAAGTTATACTCTCATCATTATTACTGTTATGTTTATCATCCGTATTGCGATGTATAGTATTCGTATTATTACTCATCTTACTACTACTTAAAAGTATGATTGATAGTAGTCGTAGTGTTATTATTGCTACCCTTTATTATAATTCGTCATCTTATTATGGTCACTTCCTCTAGTATCCGCGGCCTCCTTCCGCCCCATCCTCCCTCCTCCCTTCCTCTCTTACCCCGCCAGCCTCTCCTCCTCAACTCCTCCTCTCCCTTCCCCCGTCCCTCCCCCACCCCACCCCCTATCGCCTTCCCCCCTCCTCTATCCTATCCTCCCTCCCTCCCTCCCATCCTCCCCCCCTCCGCCTCCCCCCCTCCCTATCCTATCCTAGCACACCCTATCCTATCCTATCCTGTCCTATCCTATCCTGCCTCACTCCCCCCCTCCCTCCTCTCTCCTGTCCTCCCATATCCTCCCCCCCTTCTTCCCAACCCCTCCCCCCTCCCGCCGCTCGTGCCCGCGGGCGCCTTTCGTGCCCGCGCCCACGAAGGCGGCGCCGCAGCAGCAGGTGAAGCAGCAGCCACCTGCCCCCCCTTTCTGGGGCGGAGGGGGGGGGGGAGGAGGAGGAGGAGGAGGAGGAGGAGGAGGAGGAGGAGGAGGAGGAGGAGGAGGAGGAGGAGGAGGAGGAGGCGGAGGAGGAGGGAGGAGGAGGAGGAGGAGGAGGAGGAGCGGAGGAGGAGGAGGAGGAGGAGGAGGAGGGGGAGGAGGAGAGGGGGGAGGGGGGGGGAAGAGGGGGAGGGGGGGGAAGAGGGGGGAGGGGGGAAGAGGGGGAGAGGGGGGAAGGGGGGTAAGAGGGGGGAGGAGGGGGAAGGGGGAGGGGGGAGAGGGGGGGAGAGGCTTCCAGGATCCCAGGTTAGCCGCGCGCGCGACCACGATGGGGGAGGGAGGTCCAGGCAGAAGAAAGCGCAGGCAGGAAAGGGGGACGAGGGCGGGCAGGACAGCGGTATACGGGAGGGAGGGAGTGGGGAGAAGGAAGGGGGGAGACGCTCGGATCGAAAGTCATGGGAGAGACCGTAGATGGACAAAAAAGTGGAATCCTTGACACCACGCCCCCCCCCTCCCCCCAATTTCAAAGTTGGCCTCAAGCATTTGGCAGCACAGGCGTGAGAGGACAAAAAAAGTGGAATCCCCAGGGCCTCCGAGAGGCCGAACCCAACTTTGAAATTGGGGGGAGGGGGGGGGGGACGAATGCGGGGCCGAAGACGAAGGGGTTCCGTTTGTTTGTCCCCTTACCGGACAACACTTTGACTTCCAATGTGTCGGAATAACTTGCACGAGAAGGGCGGCGGCACGGCTGGAAAGCGTGAGGGGAGACGGAAACCAGCCAAGCTCGCGCCACGACTGGTATCGCACGCCTCCCGCCCATCCTACTGATATTGAATACATCTGGGGGGAGGAAGAGAAAAACGAAGAGGATGAAGATGACGAAGAACGAGCAGGAGAGATGAGCCGGAGGAGGAGAGCCATGTTTTGCCGTCTTGGGCATGTGTCTGGCCTCGGGGAGCCCCAGCGGAAGCCTTTGGAGACATCCAGGGACCCTCGGCGGCCTCCACGAACGTCTGGAGACCTCGGGGGCCTCTGGGGGAGGAAGGGATGTAGCGGAGAGGGAGGCGGGGATGGGGAGGAGCGAGGGAGGCGGGGATGGGGATGGGGAGGGTGAAAGGGCGAGGGAGTTGAGAGGGATGGGTGGAGGGAGGGAGGGAGGGAATCCAGGAAGAGAGGGAGGGAGGAAGAGCGGGGGATGGAGGGCTGCCTGGAGGGAAAGGAGGGGAGGGGAGGGCGAGGAAAGAGTGAGGAAAAGGGCGGAAGAAAAAAGGGAAGGGCGAGAGGGAGGGACGGAGGAAATAATGTGTCATGGCGGGGAGGGAGGGAGGTGGAGGGAGGAGAAGCACGCGCCGCGTGTCAATTATCTGACGCCCTATTATGACAGCCATACGAATACTTGGTTTGACCTGCTGGCGCTGCAAGGGAGGCTCGGCGCGGCATTTGCGGCTCCATCAGTTTTCACGAATCGGATGGTGGCAGATTAAGACCTGCTGCGCTTCAGGCTGCCGTCGCTACGCACAAGCGCCCTCAGTGCGCGAGGAGTTCTGCTTCTGCTTCTCGGGGAGCTTTGGCGACGCTGGGCCAGAGAGAGAGAGAGAGAGAGAGAGAGACAGACAGACAAAGACATACAGGACACATAATAAACTCAGAGGGCCTCAGAGTTTGACCAACTGCCCCAGGGAAGCCACGATATGGCGCCAAGAGGCCTCGAAGAGGCCCCAGAGGAGCCCAAGTTGGCGAGCGCTGGGGGGCTGCCCGGGTTTGATTACAGCTTCGGCCTTTCGGGTGTGACCCATCTTTGGTTCACTAGTGCTCCTCCACTTCTTGTCTCATGAAAACTCTCCCAGAAGCCGTTACGGATGGCCAGATGTGTGTGGCGCTTCCCGGCCCACCCCCCTTGCGCTGCAACCCTCCCGACGGCACCGTCGTCGTAGTTGCACGAGGACTGGTTGGCCCAGCTGCAGTCGCAGGTGCACCCGCTGCGCAGCTTGCAGGTCCTCCGAGGCTCTTTGGGGCGAGGGCAGCGCGCACCCTCCGGGTCCCGGCCTCGGTGCTTCCCCCTCGAATCGGCTGCTGGTCCTCAGCCGTTGTGCGGCGGTCCCGGGGCCGGGGAAGGGTCCAGCGAGAAACCTCGGGGGCCCCGTCCCTCAGGGCCTCCTTTCTCCAGGGCGAACTCGGCGTCCCCCTGGGATGAAGAATGCCCCCAACAGGAGCAAAAAACACTGGATCTCAACTGCAGTTTCTTCGCCGTGCGCTCTGCTCAACGATGAACGGTCAGCGAGGCCTTTCTGCCAATATGGCGTCTTCGGGCTGTGCCAAACTGAGCTGCCGAGGTCGTCTACACGTAAGAGTGACCCTTCGCAAGAGTGACCTTTGGTGCTAGCCCCAAGGGGGGTGGGTGATTTTCTTTTTGGAATGAGCTCGACCTCGCGTCGTCGGCACCCGTAGCGTGTGCCTGCGCTCGCATCTGAGCGCGCCAGGTTTGCCCCCCCCCTCCCCCCTGCAATCGACCGCAACGCATACGCGGCGCACTACAACGAGCGCAGTCGCTTCCCGAGGGGAGGCGGGCCGACGGGGTGGGCGCGTTCTCCGCCCCAGGCCTGGTCCCGAAGCCCAGTCCAAATCCCAGATCGTCTGGTCCCGATATCATGCAGCATCTCTCCTCCGAACCAGTGGGAGTCTGGACTGCTGCAAGTTATGTGGAAAGATGTTCGGGCAGATTCCGGGCCCGCGGATGGGGCTGGCTTTGGCCACGGCGCCGGACCTGGGCGGACACCGTCGCGACGCGGCCCTGCTCGCGCGGGCGGGCGGTCCTGTTCGCCGTCTCGAAGCAGCACTCCTCGAAGCAGTGCCCGCCGTCGTCCTGGCCGCCCGGGGGGCGGGCCGCGGGAGCCGGCGGGGTCCGGGGAGCCCGGCCGCGGCAGAGCGCCGCCTGCGCCCTCCGCGGAGGTGGAGGGTCGGGCGTCGAGGATCGAGGTCCTCCTCGTGCTCTTCGTGCCGCATCTTCGTCCACCTCGTGCGCCTCTTTGCGCCTCCGTCGCCTCCCTCCCCTTGTTCCCCGGGGACTTCACGACAGGAGGGGGGGGGGTCTGATGGATGTGGGGGTCTGCTTCGAGCTGTCTTGCAGGCCTCCAGGGGGGCCTGGGCAAAAGGCCACCCTTTCATGGCTGGTCTGGGGGGTCTGAACGTGCCAGCCTCGGAAGGTTGTGACCCCCTCCCTTTTAAATTGAATGTATTCCCTCTCCTCCTCCTCCTGCTCCTCCTCCTTTTCCTCCTCCTCCGCTTCCTCCTCCTCACTTTCCTCATCTTTCCTCCATCTTCTCTCGCTCTCCCCAGACTCCGTAGCGGTGATAGAGCCGGAATATGGCCACAACCACGTGGGTCAGGAACACGAACGCCTTCGCCGAAAGCCCAAGGCCCCAGAGAGATGCCCATAACAAAGAACACTCGAGGGCATAACGACGAACACACGGGTACGCCTCCGAAGCCAAGGTTGCTCACTGCCCCTGTGCCAGCGGTAGTCAAAATCGCAGTTGTGCTAACACTTCCCTGACACCAGTCGTTTGGCGGCTCGCAGTGGAACGGCGGCGGGCATCGCCTAGGCCTAAAAACACAGGGAGCCCTGCCAGCACACGAGGCGGCGACCGAGCGAGAGCCTGGGGGGGCTTGACTGAAGGTCACGAGGCGGCGACCCGGCGCGAAAGCACGGGGAAAGCCCCGCCGACACATGAAGTGGCGACCGGGCCAACACCCCGAGAACCCCGCCAGCACGCGAGGCGGCGACGCGGCAGCGACGAGCGGCGACCAGGCGAACACCCGATGATCCCCGCCAGCACGCGAGGCGGCGACGAGGCAGCGACCAGGCGAAAGTCCAGGAAACCCGCCCCCAACTACTTAGCAAAGGAAGTCACAATCCCTTAGTGCGTGCACTGTTCGGACATACCAGCCAGCGCAGACTCTAAATAGATCAGAAGTCTAAAATTCAGTGGACTGGAGTGGGCTGAAGTAGACTGGGCTGGAATAGACTGGACTGGACTGGGGTGAACTCTACTCCACTCTACTCTATTCTACTCGACTCTATTCTCCCATATACCATACTCTACTCTACCCTACTATGCTTTACTCTACTCTACTCTACCCTACCCAACTCTACCCTGACCTACTCTACTACACCCTACCCTACCGTAACCCACTCTATTCCTTCTCTGCCGTAGTCCTACTCTACTCTCCTCTACTCTATTATCCGCCACCGTGCCCTCGGGCGCACGTTGGAGTGCCATCAGGTCCCGTGCTCGATCCCGTGAGCCTCAGTCCTCCCTCCTGAGGACTCTTTACGGAGCCCGCACCCCAAACTCTCAAATCTCCTGGGGCCTAGCGCGGTCCCCCTGGGTTCCCCCAAGTGGTGGCGCATAACCGGTTCGGGCCCAAGCTGGGCCCAAGACGGGCCAAGAGACCCAGAGCCCGCCCAGGTGGTCCCAGGGCGCTCCGAATCGCTACACGATCTGTCCGAGACCTTCAAGGTGGCTCCAAGATGGCCCATCAAGCAAACCATTGATTCCCATTATGCGTTTCTGTGTTTTTGGGGTTGTCGCGTTGGGTCGCTCCACGACGTCCCAAGAGGCCCCCAAGACCGCCCCAAGACGGCCCCAGAGACCCCCACGAGGGCCCCAAGGCGGCCCAAAGACCGCCCCAAGACGGCCCAGGAGGCCCCTAATAAGGCACCAAGACGGCCCAAAAGGGCACCCAAACGGCCAAAGATGCGCCCAATACGGTCCAAGAGAACCCCCCAAGACGGTTCAGAGGCCCTAAAGGGGGAGCCCGAACGGACAACTTGAGCCTCCCGTCCCAATATTGCCCCAGGAGGCCCCAACGAGGCCCCAAGAAGCCCCCCAGGAAGCCCCCAAGACGCCCCCCAAAAGCATCAAAACTGCCCCTGCGAGGGCCCGGAGAAGCTTCCCGCGACATCCACACACCAATCCCGGAGGCCCATGACCCACAATCCGGGCACCGTGACGGGATGGGCCGCAGGCCATTCGATATTCTGCCCGACTTACTCCACTCTACTCCACTCTACTCTGCTCTACTCTACCCTACTCTACTCTACTCTACCCCTACCATATCCTGCTCTACTATATTCTACTCTATCCCTAACTCCTCTTTGGTATCTGCTCCCGTTATACCACCTAGCCGGCCGATTGCCCCCACATCTGGATGATTCAATCCTGCCTGTGCACAAACGATACAAAGTCGCGGGTTTCCGTCCCAACATTGGCATCACGCTCTCCATGGCGAGACACGCGCGCCAACCATGGAACGGGGCGCGCGTGTCGCGCGAAAGGCCGAAATGTCTCTCCCGCCTCGGCCCCGCGATCATTCCCCAAACAGTGCTGGCACCTGGGGGTTCTCACTTCTGCTCTAAAGAGCTGGGCCGTGTCCGCCGCCGCCCTCGCCCCGTCGCCGCCTCGTCGCCACCCGTCGTCTGGGCCGTGTCTTCGGCCTGGCGGCTATGTGGCCGCCCTCGCCCCGTCGCCGCCTCGTCGCCGCTCGTCGTCTGGGCCTGTCTGCCGGTCTGGCGGCTGTGTGGCCGCCGCCGCCGCCCCGTCGCCGCCTCGTCGCCACCCGTCGTCTGGGCCGTGTCTTCGGTCTGGCGGCTATGTGGCCGCCGTCGCCGCCCCGTTGCCGCCTCGCCGCCGCCCTCATTTGCACGACGTAGGTTGCACCGCATTGTTTGCACCACAAAGATTGCATTGCATAGACTGCACCACATGGATTGCGCAACACATATTGCACTGCCTAAGCTGTACCACATGGATTCTCCTTTCTAAAAAGAAAATAGACTCTCTCCCCCCCCCCCCGGACTTATCGGTTCCCCCTGGGATGGTATGATTTCATATGTATATATATATATATATATATATATATATATATTCTGCACACTCGTCCATCCTAACTATGAAATGATACCATCCCAGGCAGGCCGGATTCCCCCCCCTGAGGCTCCCTGGTAACAGCACAATATGCGGTGACATTTTTGCTCTAACATAGCACTTTTTCGCGAATCCCTTGCAAAAAAAAGGATGAAGTGCACACGCGCGCGTCGTCGCGCGCGCATGCCGAAATCCTTCAAAAACCTTCGGTGCCGGAAGGATTTCGCAATCGATCTTCCAAAAAAACATACAAAACACATGGTTTCGCAACACTGATTTGCTAAAAAAGCTTGCGCGCGAGCTCTTGCGAAATCTTAAGAAACCATAGGTTTTTCAAGGCTTCGCGCGCGCGCATGCCGAAATCTGTCGAACGCCCTTGCGCGTGTGCCGTCGCGAGAATCCTCTGCAAAAAATAAGACGAAGTGCAGACACGCGCGTCGTCGCGGGCGTACGCCGAAAACCTTCAAAACCCAACTGTTTCGGAAGGATTTCAAATCGTGCGTCCAAAAAACCTACAAAAACCCAAGGTTTCGCAACACGGATTTTCAACAAAAGCGTGCGCGCGCGCTCTTGCGTCGTCGTCGTCGTCGTCGTCGCCGTCCTCCCTCCTCCCGCGTCGTCGTCGTCGTCGTCGCCTACCTCTGTCTTTTCTCGTGTTCGTCGTCGTCGTCCTCTTTGGCGTCGTGGTCGTTTCCGTCGTCGTTGTCGCCGTGGTCGTCCTTCCTCCTCCTCCCACGCCCGTTTCCGTCGTCGTTGTCGCCGTGGTCGTCCTTCCTCCTCCTCCCACGTCGTCGTCGTCGTCCGTCGTCGGCGTCTCGTCGTCGTCCCTCCTATTTCGTCGCCGTCGTCGTCGTCGTTGTCGTCGTCGTCTTCCCTCCTCCCTCGTCGTTGTCGTCGTCGGCGTCGCCGTCCTTCCTCCTTCGTCGTCGTTCGCGTCGTCGCCGTCCTCCCTCCTCCCTCGTCGTTGTCGTCGTTGTCGCCGTTGTCGCCGTCGTCGTCCTTCCTCCTCCCTCGTCGTCGCCTTCGTTGGCGTCGTCGTCGTCGTCTTCGTCGTCGTCGGCGTCGGCGTCGTTGTCGTCGTCAAAGTCGTCGGAGACGTCGTCGGTGTCGTGCTAGTCGTTGTCGTCCGTGTCGTCGTAGTCGGTCTTAAGAGGTTTTGCAAACCAAGTTGCGGGTGGGTGGGTGGGATGTTTGCGCGAGCAGTGGAGATGACGACTTCAAGTTCAGCAGAGTGGACTGCACACCATAGATTTAACCACGCATGGGCGCACAGTCTATATTGCACCACGTACTCGGCACGACATGGATTACACCACATAGGGTGCACAATAAAGACTGCACCACATATATTGCACCACTGAGGCTGCACCGCATATATTGCACAACGTAGATTGAACAGCATATATTGCCCCACTTGGGTTGCACAACGTGTGATGCACAACATAGGGCGCACAACACATACCGCACTAAATCACTAGCACCACACAGGTTGCACAACGTGGATTGCGTCACTCAGGCCGCACCACATAGCTTGCACAACGTACAGTGGATCGCACTAAATGTACCAAATTGATTGCACAACCTGTACTGCACCACATCGGCTGCACAACACACACATATACATATATAGATATACCTATACATATATATATATATATAGATACATATATATATATATATACCTGTATATATATATATATAGCCCAACATGTATGGTTTGAAAACACACTCTTTGGGGTCCATGTTGGCGAACGCCTGTCTGCAGATGTCGACTCCGGCTGGGGACGCGGCGCACCTCTCTCCGCTGCGTCGACGCGCGAGCGGGCGAAAACGTAGCCCTCGCCTCGGCGCCGCGCAAAACTTGCCTGAACGTGGCGTTCGCGCCTCGCCGCGGTGCATATTTTTCACTCGCCAACTCTTGGGGGCCCTCACGGGGAGGCGACTTGACGCCTCCGCCCGAACTCCGTGCGCCTTTCGCTCGGAAGTGGGGTCCCGCGTGGGCGCGGCGCAGGGCTCGTTCGTCGTAATTATCACGTGCAGGACACAGCGGCAGCGGGGCCGCGCGAGAGCGAGCGAAATGCCATCTTCGCCCAAGCGCCGCGCAGTCTGTGAGTGAAACGGGCAGTGTTGCATCAGCGCCGTGCATGTTTTCGACGTGTCCATCAGAAGTTCTGCCGGTCCCGCTCCTGCTCGGCCTGCGCAGCTTTCCCTTCGCCAAGTCGTCGGAAGCGGGGCTGGCGCGAGCTCTTTTGGTTTGCGATGTGGGAGCGCGTTCCGACAATTGTGCCCCAAATGATTCTCATGTTGTGGAGGGAGGTGGAAGTAGGCGGGGCCCCCTGACTCGCTCTGCATGGCTGATTTGACTCTACTCCTACTCCTGCTCCTTCTCTTACCCTATTCTGCCCTATTATACCCGACTCTACTACTATTCTCCTCTCCTCTCCTCTCCTCTCCTCTGGTCTACTCCACTCGACTCGATGCTAATCTCCTCTACTCTACCGTGTTCTGCCATGCTCTACTGTACAGTCGATGCTACTCTACTCTACTGTATTTCTGCTGTGCTCGACTTCACTGTATACGACTTTGCGCAATGCGGTAGAGGGAAACAATTAGTGAACACCCCCCCTGCCCCCCAAACTCAAAGTTGGCACGCGGGGGGCAGACTGCGGTCGATGTGCAACTCATCAGACCCACCGCCAACTTTGAACATTGGGGGGAGGGGGAGGCGTTCACAGATGAATGTGGCATGGGTGTTCGCTAATTTTTTCCGAGGCCTGTATGAGAACACTCCTGCACGACTCCTGCGAGATTCTATAGGAATCCCACCGAAATCCTATACAGTCCCTATGAGATCCCATAGGGATCTTATACGATTCCTGAAAAATCCGCGAGAAATCCAAATAAGTGGACCCACATGATCCCTATGAGATCCACTAGGCGTCCTATACGATCCCTATGAGTTCCGATGGGAATCTTGAACAATTTCTATACGAATCCTGTGACATCCGATGGCGATCCGATAAGCCTCCTGCACGATTCCAATGAGATCCCGTAGATCCTTGTGACATCCGATCGGGGACCTGTAATCTAATAGGAACCATGTACGGTTCCGATGACATCCGATTCGGATCTGGTAGAAATAACGGAGGAAATCACTAGCAGAGGAAGCCATCGGAATCAGGACGATGCAAAGGCACATTTGAAGGGGGAGGGGGGGGCAGTGGACCAGTTCTCTACGCATTGAGCTGGGACTCGTATACGCAAGCCTATTTGCAGAACGAACGCTCCCTAACCTGGATCCTACGCGTCCCCATCCTCCTCCTCCTCCTCCTCCTCCTCCTCCTTCGCCTCCTTCAAACTCTTTCTCTCGCTCTCTCTCTCTCGCTATTTGTATTTGTTTTTGTTCCTCTATCTCTCTCTTTCTCTCTCTGTCTCTTTCTCTCTCTCTCTCTATTTCTCTTTCTCTCTGTGTCAGCATTCATTCATCAACATATATATATATATATATGTAAACATATATGTTCACACATACATATGTATATATATATGAAGATATACGCATGAATTCCCCGAACACTGCTTGCAAATAGGGCTTCTTCATTGTCTTCCCGTCTAAGAAATTGGCAAAGCACGGCGAACATGTGCCACACTGCCGCCCGTTGCCACCTCGCCACGTTGCTGCTCTTTGCCGCCTCGTGCGCTGGGTGGCTCCGGCGAACTTTCGCAACGCTGCCGCCGGTTGCCGCCTCGTCGCCGCCCGTTGCCTCCTCGTTGCCGCCTCGTTGCTGCCTCGTGCGCTGGGTGGGTCCGGCGAACTTTCGCCACGTTGCCGCTCGTTCCCCCCTCGTTGCCGCCTCGTGCGCTGGATGAGTCTGGCGAGGTTTCGCCACGTTGCCGCCTGTTGCCGCCCCGGTGCCGCCTCGTGCGCTGGGCGGGTCCCGCAAGGCTTCGCCACGTTGCCGCCTGTTGCCGCCCCGGTGCCGCCTCGTGCGCTGGGTGGGTCCCGCAAGGCTTCGCCACGTTGCCGCCCGTTGCCGCCCCGGTGCCGCCTCGTGCGCTGCGTGGGTCCCGCAAGGCTTCGCCACGTTGCCGCCCGTTGTCGCCCCGTTTTCGCCTTGTGCGCTGCGTGGTCCGGCGAGGTTGCGCCACGTTGACGCCCGTCGCCGCTCGCTGCCGCCTCGTGCGCTGGGTGGGTCCGGCGAGGTTTCGCCACGTTGCCGCCCGTTGCCGCCTATAGTTTGCACAATGTATGCTGCACCACATAGCTCACATCCCATGGCTTCCACCACGTAGTTTAGAACTGCGCAGCGCACAGTGTGAAGCTTGGGGTTCACGCTGGCATATACATGGGCGTGACTGAAGCTTCGCCCAATTCTGCCACTGCGGCGCTGTGGGGCACGATTCAGGACAATGACGAAAGATGCAGAGGAACACAAGACCAACTGAGTTCGAGCCTGGTTCGATCCTGCGTTTCGAAGCAATCCCGCATGAGACGCCCACTTCTCTATTGTTTGGAACCGGCTTCTGTTGTTTGGAACCGACTTTTGAACCTGGCTCGAGCCCTATTTTGAAGAAGTTCCACGCGGCTCGCCGTTTTGAACCACCTTTCCATTTAGCCGAATAACAGACTGTAACTAGAGGTGCATACCCGAAGTTGCCCGCCCCCGCTGACGCAGCTCCACTCCCGTCACATTGTACCAGGCTCCGCGCGCCGAACGGAGCACCTTCGATCCACGCTGCGCCAGCCTGTCGAAATTTGGCGATCTTTGATCATGGCACAGTATCTCTCTCTATATGCATGTATATACACGTGCAAATCTACAATATATCATACATATCCCTCCCTCACTCTCTTCCTCCTCCTCCTCCTCCTCCTCCCTCCATTCTTCGCGAATTCGTAACCCCATGCCTGCCCCCTTGGTCACAGGGGCACCGCGCCGTCCAGGTGACCACCCCACCTTGTGAGTCGAAGCTAATGCGGGACGAGCGATTCGTTTGGGGACCTGGGTCGCTCTCCGAAAGCGTCTAGGGCACATTGGACATCCCAGGTCCCACAGACCGTCGGGTGAGGTCTTCGAGATCTCGAGGTCGTCGACCACCTGTCACACGACGACTACCACCACCAACACCAACTTCAGAGGTCTCCTGAACTTCCCTCAGGCCCCGGCAACTCCTCGCAGAGGTCCTCAGAGGCCCCCGGAGGTCCAAACACTGGCCGGACTCGTCCAAAGACCTCGGTCCCCGACCCATCAAACCACAAACCTCGATCGACGACGGCGACGACGGCCACGACGACGACAGCGACGACGACAACGACGCGGGCAACGGCGACGGCGACGACGGCCAGTATCCTGCCCACAGGTGGACACGCTGGCCCAGCTGCAGTCGCACCCCTCCCCGCCGCCGTCGTCCTCGGACGCCTGCGCCCGTGGCGGCCGCCTCGTCGTCGTCGTCGTCGTCGTCGTCGTCGTCGTCGTCGTCGTCGTCGTCGTCGTCGTCGTCGTCGTCGTCGTCGACTCTCGATCTAGAGCTGGGGGCCTCTGGGGGTCGGGCGCCTGGGCGCCCAGACCTCTGGTTAGTCCTGATCCGTTCCAGGCGGGCGTCTTTTACTGAGGCTCGGCCTCCTGGGGCCTGTACAGTCGGGGCGTTGACCTAAGGAACCCTAAATAAGGAACGAGGCCCGCTGCGAAACAATGAAGCTGCGAAACAATGAAGGAACACGGAGCCCCTCCACAACGAAAAGGGTTCCTTCTTCAGCGCACCGACTGTATTCGGGCCCTGGGAGCTAAACAAAAATGTGCTCAGGGCGAGAGCTGCCCCCGACAGGAGGGGTCGAGACCCCTGAGGCCCGCGGATGGGAACAAAAACAGCCATCAAGGTGTTTGACCGCTTGACATTAAAACAGACATTGGGGGGTACAGGTTTTTGACGTGTGTGTGTGTGCATGTGTGTGTGTGTGCGTGTGCGTGTGCGTGTGCGGTGTGCGGTGTGCGGTGTGCGGTGTGCGGTGTGCGTGTGCGTATGCGTGTGCGTGTGCGAGTGCGTGTGCGTGTGCATGTGCGTGTGTGTTCTTTTGTGCGTGCGTGTGTGTGTGTGTATTTGTGTGCGTGGTTGTGTTTGTGTTTGTGCTTTTGTGTGATTATGTGTGGTTGTGTGTGTGTTTGTATTTGTGTGTTGTGTTTGTGTGTGGTTGTGTATTTGTGTTTGTGTGTGGTTCTGCTTGTGTATGTGTGAGGGAGCGTGAACCACCGCCACTTTACTGTGGAAGATTCCCCCCGCCTCTCCCTCCGGAACCCAGGGCCCCCCCCCTTCGAAAATCTCCCCCCCCTCCCTGCTGGAACCCCCCCTTCCCCCCCTTCCCCCGGCAAACCCTCCCCCACCCTTATAACCCTTCCCCCCCCCCTCCGGAAAACCGGGGGGGGTCACTACCGGTTCGAACCAACCCCCCCACTCCAGAAAACCGCCGGGGGGGTCACTACCGGTTCGAACCCACCTCCCGTCCCCCCCGCTCCCAGAAAACCGGGGAGGGCGTCACTACTGGTTCGAACCCCCTCCCCCCCTCCAGAAAACCGGAGGGGGTTTACTACTGGTTCAAGCACCCCCCCCCTCCCAGAAAACCAGTGCCCCAACCACTGTCGCACTGTCCCAACTGTCCCCGCCACTGTTCCCACCACGGTCCCACTCCCCCCACCTTCTCCACGGTCCCCACCACTGTCCCACTGTCCCCACTGTCCCCGCCGCTGTCCCACTGAGCTGTCCCACTGTTCGAGAGAACGCGTTTCACTGGCGCTTGCTTTGGGAACATTCGGCGGCGCGTTTCGAGCCGGGGGGGGGGGCCCCCAACACTCGGCGCCGTCGATCAAAACCAAGAGGACTCCCCTCCCCCCCAAACCCCCCCCTCCCGAACCCCACCCCCATCGGCGCCAGCGCCGGCGCCAGCGCTGGCGGCCGCCAGCAGCGCCGACGGCGGGGACGCAGACGATGACCAGAGGCAGCCCAAGGGGGGGGGGTTGTTTCAAACGGGGGGGGGGGTTCAAACCCCCCCACACCTGGCGCCAGCGCCGGCGCTGGCGGCGGCCAGCAGCGCCGGCGCTGGCGCTGGCGACGGCGGCGGGGACGTAGCGACGATTACCACCACTACCATCACCACCACGACCACCACCAACACCGCCTCAACCCACCACCACCACGACCAACCCACCACCACAACCCACCACCACCACCACCACAGCCACCACCACCACCACCACAACCACCACCACCACAACCACCACCACCACAACTCAGCTCACCATCACCACCACCACCACCACGAAAACCCACCACCACTACCACCACCACCACAATCTACCACACCACCACCACCACCGCCACAACCACCACCACTACCAGCAGCACAACCCACCGTCACCACCACAAACCACCACACCACCACCACCACCGCCACCACCACCACCACCACCACGTCCACAAACCACCGCCACCACCACAACCCACGACCACCACCGCAAACCACCACCACAAACCACCACCACACCACCACAACCACCACCACCACCACCACCACCACCACGATTCACCATCACCAGCACCGCCACCACAAAAACCCACCACCACTACCACCACCACAATCTACCACACCACCACCACCACCACGTCCACAAACCACCGCCACCACCACAACCCACCACCACCGCCACAAACCACCACCACACCACCACAACCACCACCACCACAATTCACCATCACCACCACCACCACCACCACCACCACAATCTACCACACCACCAGGACCACCGCCACAACCACCACCACTACCAACAGCACAACCCACCACCACCACAAACCACCACACCGTCACCGAAGTCACCACCGCTGCCACCACCACCACCAGCACCACCTCCACAAACCATCGCCACC